TGAATGAAAAGTCGAAGTGTTTGCTGGTACAGGCTCGCCAGGAAGTAGAGATGGCTTGGCTCGACAAACAGAGYTTTATCAACCAACAGGTCTTTGTGTAGAGTTCGACCATGTAATGTACGTTTGTGATGCACAAACGAATTGTATTAAGATCTATACTTCTCTTAATGAGACAAGTGAATTTCTTGATGCGGTTGGGAAAATCTACAAGGCCTTTTCTGTCCACGAAAAGCGTACAAAGTACGAGCTCTGTCTACTTCCAGATGCTATAACCCTGGTCAACCAGTGCTTACTACACCTTGCACGGAACGAGGCTCTGATAAGAAGTCAAGAGATCAAATTGCCAAAGTGTTTGAATGGTCCACAGGGTAATGTTGCAGAAAAGACCATAGAGTCAGTGTCGTTTTTGCACGGTGGACTGCAAAGGCTAAATGTGTTACTGGCACCACTTGGCTACACGCACACCAACCTCCTTAGCTGCATGACCCTAGATGTCGAAAACTGCCACTCTGTCGTCCACCACAAAGCTCCCTTGTGTACTGTTCTCGAGTATGCAAGGAACTTTGGTAATGCTGTAAAAGAGAGCCTCAAGAGAACTACAAACTGGGCCGTGTACTATTACACCAACCCAAAGTCATGGTATCCCGTCCCAGACCGAGGGNTTCAGCGAAAGCAGTACACATTCCGTTGCTGGTTTTACCTACCTTTTTTTAATTTTTTTGCGTCCAGTTGACCTTTTGACAGATATGCACCCTTTCTGCCCAAAGAACACATAGTTTATGATTCACTAAAAAGGCAATTTTGATGCAAAAAGAAAGAAAGAAAGTCGCCCGCCGTCGTCCGCCATTTTTTTCACATTTTATCAAACCTGCCAATTTCGCCTTTCGTTAAAACGTGAACTGTAATTGGCTGGTTGAAAAAGCCATTGAAATGTTTGAGGTAAGGAGAAACCTAATTTTTATCATAAAAACTATACTCGAATTCTAAAGTTTTTAAAGCCATATTTTAGAAAAAAGAGTTATTTTATAAAAGCAATACTCGGGCACGTTGGGAGAATTCTCGATGGTTATGCAAACCCTCGACTTCGTCTCGGGTTTGCATAACCGTCTCGAATTCTCCCAACCTACCCTCGTGTTTGCATCAGGCATGTAAACACGGAAAAAGTTATCTATTACTTAAATACCTAATGCAAAGAAGACATAATTCCTTCATAAAAATAGACAGAAGTTCCAAAAGAATTACAAATTGATGGACTCGGCAAAAAAGAATCAATTACTAAGTAAGAGACGACAGAGTTATCAATCAATGGACTTATCTAAAAAAACTGAAATGTTAACTAAGCTCCATGACAATTATAAATCAATGGACTCAGCTAGAAAGGCAGAGTTGTTAAAAAATCATAGAAAAAATAACAAGAGCAAAAGTCTATCAATTGAATCATGCATTACACAATTCAATATTATAAGAGAAGGACCATTTTTCATATGTAATGTATGCCATTAACTGCTATACAAAAAATCAGTCAAACTATGCAAGTACTCTTGTCAAGCATATTTCAATACTAAACAGTCATATGATGGGAAAGAGTACATATGTAAGACATGTCACTCAAAAGTCATAAAAGGAAAGTTACCATGTCAGGCTGTATGTAATGGCATGAATGTAGATGAAATACCGCCACAACTAGCTTGAAAAACTCGAACAAATACTTATAGCTCAACGTATAGTTTTTCAGAAGATAATTATTATGCCTAAAGGTCAGCAAAGAAAAATATGGAATGTACCAATTGAATGTGATCAGACATGTAACCAATTGCCTCGTGCACCTGAGAGATCTGGTATCATAGTCCAGCAGCAAATGTCATAAATGAAAGTCCCGTGGGAATTTTAGGCTGCAAGCACTTTATCCATTTCAATATGTTCTTGGGACCTTACTGAACATAAAAAATATTGTTGGCACTTTTGTAAGTCGCACCGAGCTGAATTAGGGAAGATTTTAGAATGATATATATTCCACAGCATGGAAACTAAAATGGGCATAACTCCTGTTTTTCTCAATGAAATAGCACTTAAATAACACAGACTATGTATTTGAAAGAGATCATCCATATTATTGCGGAGTTTGCATGGTCACGTGACAAGAAAGCATGAAATCGAGGCTCTTTCTTAGAATAGCCATATTTTCACATTATTTTTATCAAACACTACCAAAATTTCACACATATGTAAATTGATAGCATAAAGTATGTCATGTCACATTAGGCTTTGTGAATGGTCACCTGTAAAATGCTTACATGAGATCGAGGCTGGGGAAGAAAAATGACGATTATGACTTCATTTCAAAAAAATTGTCGGTCTGACATTAAGTGCTTATTCAAACTATAAGCACAGGAAGAAAAGTATTTGCAGTTTTAGATTATGTCAAAATTAGAATAAAAATAAAAATTACTTTTTGGTTACCCTGTGTTATGTTTAACGGTTCTACTGGTCAGCAGTGTTCATAATCAAAATACAGATCCGCCATTTTGACTTCCAGACGATGTAGATCTGTATATATTTGATGTTAGAATGGATGTACCTATAGATTTTGGTCTCTGTTTGGTTTGTCAGTGTAAAAAGGAAGAAGAACTTGTCACCAACCCAACTTCATACAAAACGTTACATGAAACAATCAATATTAGAGCGTCATATAACGAGAAAAAATATGTCGAAGTCTGGGCTTACATTAAAGATTTTAGCTGTGAGGATCTAAAGGAAAGAGGTGCATCATGGCATCGTACTTGTTATCAAGATGCAGCACATTCTGGAATGGTAAAGCGGGCAAGAGATAGGTATGAAAGAGAACTCACTGGTCTTCCAGATTTAAAAAGAAAAAGATCAGTCGAGCCTGCAGCTTCTCAACTAACTCGCTCCAAGACAACTCCATACAACAAAGATGTTTGTTTCTTTTGTGAAAAAGAGGCGGGTTATAGAGAAACACTGAGGACAGTTAGTACCATGTTGGCTGGCAAATCACTGCACCATGCTATTGAACTATCAGGTAATGACAAGCTGAGAGTTAAACTGTCAACTGCAGTAGACTTGAAAGATGCACATGCCATTTATATTAAATACCATAAAAAGTGCTGGAGAAACAATGTTTCAACAGTCCTTCGTAAGTCATCTGCTAATACTTCATCATCAAGTTATGCTGCAACAGCCGAAATTGCAGCAAAAATAGAATTTCTAACTACAACTGAGATAGATTTGAGGAATGGTAGTATTCTAACAATGTCAGAGCTGGAGGCCAACCACAAAACTATCCTGAAAGAAAACGGAGTGGAAATACAAACTCAAAGTCGAAAATCTGTAAAGCAGCTTTTGATAAGTGAAATTGAAGATATAGAATTCCACAGGCTCAATAGAGTCAACGAGTCTGAAAGAGTTACTATCAAGCAAACGCGAGATGCAGCTGTACAGTTATCAGAGGAGGATAAAGAAGTAAAAGATGACATCAAAACCTTGTATGATGCAGCGCAGGTTTTAAGAAAGTCCATCAATAAATCCAAAAACTGGGTGTTTGAAGGACCACTAGACAACCTTTCTTCTGAGCATTATCCTCAGGAACTGTATTGCTTTTTTAGGTGGTTGATTAATGGTACATCAAATGCTAATGTTTTGACAGAAAAGAAAAGCAATGAAGTTCACAAGCGTATCATGAGTTTGGTACAGACCACAATCTCTTTGACCCTAACAGAGCGCCAAATTGCCAACCACTCTCAATTTCTTAAAGCTAGTCACGAAATGCCACAGAATCTAGCCGTAGGACTTTCTGTTCATCAGTGGGTGAGGAGTAAAGAATTCACAGGGCGAAAAAGCGAGTTTCCGTAATCGGAAATTTTTCCGGAAACTGGTTTGTTGAAAATTTCCGTCAAATTTACGGTGGCGGAAATTACTTTGACTAAATATCTTGCCAATATCGCGTTTCCGTCGAGCATTTACGTTGAAAAACAACTTAAACGTTACATCAAGCGTTTCCGTTATGTATAAGTCTTACTGAAACCACTTTGTTTTTGAAATAAATGATTTGAAAGTTTTATGCCGTTTTTCTACGGTTTTTCACTTTTAAGTTTGTTTTGAGTTTGTTATTTAATTTTCTTGTACGTGCAACTCAGTTTGATTTTTCTTTTCGGCAGCTCGATCAAAATTAAATAGTATTGGTTTGAAATACCCTTGAGCGATAATTTTCTTTCAGAATTATCTTCTAAGTAGTAAGATAATAAAAGATAAATTACAAATYAGAAAGTAGGTCATTTTTTTCTGTATGAATAAAAGATAATAATTTTTCGGTAGTTCAAATTTAACATAAAAATATTTTCGAGTTTTTGCATTAATATATCATAGTACTAGTTGTCATCAACGTGGTGTTTAAAATAAAACTAGGTCAAAGATTTGAAGCGGGAGCTAGGTAATTGTATCCCTAGACTAGCTTCATATTATTGCCACAGGAAGCCCAAACGATAAAATTAGGTCAGGCTTTGCACCATCACGTGATGGCAGCCATGACAGGCGAGGCAGGAACAAAGGATATTTTCCTTTGGGAAAAGTAAACTCTTTTTCAWGTAAATGATATTTATCCAGGTTTTATTGTTCATGCCTCCTGTCATGGCTGTCATCACGTGATGSTGCTAAGCCACTATACATAAGTTACGCGAGATAATTATTTGGTTAAAGTACAACTTCCACTGTCACTGAACGAATATTACCTTTTCTACATATMTTTTATTGCATTGTTTTAATAGTAATTTGATAAAAAGTGCCAATGCTTAATAATACATTTTTCGGCTTAAATTGATATTGTTTATGTTTCATAACTATTTTTTGCCGAATTTTTTTGTCGTTTTGTGTCTTACAATGTCGAAATGGAAATMATATCTATTTAAAAACATATTACAATACATGAATAAAGCAATGAGCGAAGTAACTTGATATAGGAAGCGATTACCTACAAAATCAATAATTCATTGGAATATGTGCCTTAATAAAGGAGATACAATTATCACATCTTTGTTTCCAGACGTATCTTTTCCATATATGAAACGACTCCTGATTCGTTGCACCGGTAAAAACGTTGCTGGGCCTGGTTCAACATACTCATTGTTGAACCACATAGACAAGGGATTAAGGTACACTGAGCCTGTTGACTTTTTGTACCATTTTACAACAGCTATCACGTGTTGTGTATCCAATTTGTTGATTCGCAAAGTGTGGCGTATGTAGAACTGAACAATACCAGRTCTTTCATGAAAGGAATTTGTCAAATTACCGTCATCATTTGTCCATGATGCCATGATATGACCATACAATGAAAGACGCGATTTTAGCTTTGAACCAAATACTTCATTCAATACCATCATTGAGCTGTATTTTCTGAACGTCCTGTTMAGATGGGAAATTTTKATCTTGAGACTTGGATAAATATTTTTGTACATATTAAGCAAGTGCCCTAAATCATCTTCATCGAATGAGCACACCTTAAAATGCTTAGGTAAAACGATATTACTCGTATCTCTCCAGACTTGCTCAGCTAACTCGCTTAGTGGTGCTCGTGTCCATTGTTGAAAGTTTGTAATCATGGGGTTAGATACAAATTCTCTCATCTGAGTGTGAAGCACAGCATCATTTATCATTGCCCTACAATGTGGCATAAAGTACTCGCTATACTCTTTGGGAAGTTCGTATTGAAGGTTATATGCAAAGTTCATGCTTAGGAATTTTCTCATGAGTTGAACCTCGATTGTCTTATTGTTCGTGTGAAAATTACCCAGTAAACCATTATATCGCTCAAAGCTAAAACACCAAAATCCAAACACACTGCCATAATTTTCAATGCAAGATTTTAAATGYAAATGTAAGTGGATATTTGGTGTGACAGAATCCTTTCCATATAAAACCTCAAACTTATTGGCAAAATCAAGAAACTTACGATCTGACAGGAAAAGATCAGTTTTAGAAATGGACGTCTTACACAGAAGTCTACAAGCAATTACAAATGCTTGAAGGCAGTTCATATGTTCGTCGGGTAATATTCCTTCCATACAGTATAATGAGTAGTAGAGAATCCAATTCTGCCATTGGGAAGCTGTAAATCCACCGCAATTGGTAGTTATATTTGAAGGCAGTCTTCCTAGATCTGACGTGGCATTCATGTTTGTAATACGTTTTTCAATGTCAATAACATTTTTCTTTGATATTAGTTCATTTTTCATCCAAATTTTAAAAAGCTTTTTTGCAGTTCCGAGGAAAAGATTGTGCATAGGATCAATGATGCACATCGTTACAGTACCGTAATACGGCAGTCGTAGTAGCTCAGTATACCGCGASCCTAGCTCGCTTTCCATCTTTCGTCTTGCTGATTTAGATTTACACTTTAAGGTTTTTTTAGCGTCTCGCCTGTGTTGTTCGTCTGTTCTTAACGGCCAGTCTTCCCTGTCTTTAAAACCACTGTAATCTTTCTTCTCCCCAAAACCTCCCGGGAAACATTTCAGACAGTGACTGCAACCTCTAGTTGCCTGATGGCTAAGCAATCCACATAGTTTACGTGCGGCAGGAATGTCTGAGGCACAGCACAACAGCGCCGCCCTTATGCTAACAACCTCTGATTCGTCGGACATCTCTACTCTAACCCCTTTCCATAATGAAAGTAGTTCATCGACGAAAGGCGATAAAAAGTGAGTCAAAGTAGATGGCTCTTTAGATAAGGCTGGAATTATTCCCAGTATTATAATATTTTCYTTTTTGAACCTTTCAGACCGTGGAAGATTCATCAGAGCCAAATATAACACACCTACTGAGTAGTCAGATCTTCTCTTAAATGGCTGAAACCAGTCACAATTCAACATGAGGCCGTAAGCATGTGGGCTATTTAAAAAATCTTTACCTTTATATTTGCAAAAGTTTTTCCATACATTTCCATCATAAACATCACCATATATATCACTGTGAACTTTTCGTTTACGCCATTGTTCGCATTTATCTTTAAAACCTTTTCTTTTCAGTAGTGTCTCTAGTGAGTCAATAACGCTTTTGTAGCAATATGTATATCTCGGCACGTACTTAACAGTTCCATCTTTCAACAAAACTTTTTCCATCAAGCGATTCTCGCACACTTTTTTCCTTTTTGACCTTGGAAATTCTACATTATCGCACAGTTTGGATTGAAGACGTCCAGTTTCATCATATGTTATACAGTCATCGTGCCTGAATATTTTCGTGCATTTCCCGCAAACTACATATCTTTCAAAGTTATCGTTTTTGATRCCTAAAAAACGTCTAAACGAATACATAGTTACAGGAACAATACTTGCAATAGATACTAAAAAGCTGCATCCAGTAGTATCTTGTATTTTCTCCCCARTCATCAAAAGGAATGCACTTAGGAATTTCAGCAATGACTCAATACTTTTGTCGYTCAACATATAGAAAAACTGCCATACAAATATGAAGTACAGGAGCCACGTCATCAGAAGTTTACATCGTTGCATACTATTTAATTCTGGAGTATTTTGTGCTGGCTGGACATCAGGTTGATTTACAATTCTTTCATATTCTTCATCTGATAATCCTTCCCATTGTAAAGGATTTTCGTAATCGTCTTCGGATGCGCTTACTGTYTGATCACTTTCAGAGTCATTCTATTGATTATGAGCAATAAAAGTGATATTAGCATTAAATGATTTCATAACATAACTATTCAAACTTAAACTTTCACGATACTTTTCACCAAAGGCTTAGGCTGTTATAGCTTTCTAACCTTGACGTAAATTTTACATGCTAATATCTAAAMGTTTTTGGCAATTACTGTTAATACTTGGAGTTTAAAGTTTATATGATCATCACCCCTCATGGTTTATATATTATTCAGTAATTGTTCTAAAGTTCATATCTATACASGTATACGAGTATAGCAGTTTTAAGACTGATACTGGGCAGATTATCTTTTGTGATAATTAGCAATTATATACCGATCACATTACGTCATCTAGTCTTTTAGTCTTTTAGTCATAGCGCGTGAAGGATATTTGTCTGATATGATASTATTCGATTAGAGAGCATTAGCWAGTTTAGGACGTTTAGCATCGTCTTTTGCCCTCACACACTTTCCTAAAGGGGTATTTRAATTCGGTTCAGTCTTGCTTAGTGTTAGCGGTTGATACCTCATTAAATATTTTAGCCAAAMTCTGGTCTATATGTTGTTATTTATAATTAACAAAAACGACTTTTTATTGCACTCTTACCTCTGAGTCTGATTCACTTGAACTTGAGCTGTCTTCTGATGTCATCGCTGTTGATTGTATAGTACGTTAATCAACACTTATTACATAAACTATTTTATGACGAGTTTTCTTTGGCCAAGAWTGATACAATTATTAAAAACAAAACTCTTCAATTTGCATGCGTTAAAGAGTCTTAACTCTATGAGTATATGTATATGTACGTACCTGGAATTTCAGGAGTAGTCACGACGTCTTCACTTTGAATTTGAGTTGAAATCTCATCTGGAAGGCAAACAAGAAAACTTTCAATTTTTATATTGAAATCGATAGCACATCATAACATCTATTTTAATGGGCATTTTATCTTAAGGTCTAACTAGTTTTACCTTCGCTTGAACTTCCAGGTAGATCTTCAACAAAACCACTGTAAGATGTAGTACTTTGAGTACTTGGCACATGTATTTCCCATGTATTCGAGATTTCATCGTAATAGCTCCACTTATGCGCATAATACTGACTCTTACTCAGCTGTTTCTGACAGTGAGGACAATTGTATGTTTCTGMGGGCGATTCTTCGTTCCAAACATTATTAGTATAATCAAAGAACCTCCGCTTGTGTTCAAAGTATTGACTCCTGCTAAGATTCCTCTGACAATGGCCACATTTTCGCTTTTTAGCATCTGATCTATCTCTAGCACTTTGAACGTTCGTACGTTTTGCTCTTCTAGACGACATATTATAGTTTGCAAAGATCGCGCTCGGTAAACACGTGCCCTTTTATAACTCTCTGATTTACGCGYTTTCCGGTCAGCGAAGATCCGTCGTCAACTTTGCCGCGATCAGTCCACGCGTGCCATTCGCAATAGGCTTTTATATAAGATATATAATATATAATTATTATGAAATAATAATAATAATAATATTTAAATTGTAAAAAATGAATAGCTTCAGCTGGTCGTAAAAGTAGGAAAAGAGTTATACTATCGTTTTCTAACCTTTTTTCAGCTGATCAACTCTATTCATCGAGTGATAGACGCAGTCCGCAAACAATAGACAATAATAGAGGCAATCAAGTTTAAATTTATTTATTGTATATCATGACAGGTTAATCTGTATCACTTACACTCTAATCACATTCTTTGTTGTACCTTATCTTAATTATTTCTAGTGCGAATCTTTGCATAATTGCTAATTGATTTTATGTGCTGTGTAGAGCAATATTTCATGTTGAGCTTCTAATTAAAAATATGTTTCTCTGTTTAAAAACATAAAACATTATCAATKATTATTTGTTAACAGCATTAAACTTCTCGATGAAGCCTTGAAGTTGTAATCTCGATTCAGCATTATCTTGACTACATTCCTTTGCAATTTCATAGTAYATGTGACAGGATTTTACTTTACGGCATATCCGCTTTGCTAAGAATCCAAAGCTATAGGTATCTGTCAAGCTAGAGTAAGCACACGTGCCATTTAGCAGTTCGGGTGCAACATGAGGATATTTTTCTTTAGCCCTACCATCACAGTGTTTGTGTCGCTCTATTAATAAGCTTTGTTTGATTGGCACGCATTTACCTAGGTCTACAATAACCGGTCTCCACAATGAACTTCTTTGCATCATCAGTATATTGTTCCCATGGATATCGCAGTGAAGGAACCCTTTTGAGTGCATGTAGTCTATAGACGCTGCTAATCTGTAAAGAATAGATGGCCAGCAATTATCTGGTATCAGTTTTGTCTTCAGGACTTCATTCAAAGTAACAGCTTTTCCATTTACGCCACAGAATTCCATCACGAGTACTTTAAAACCATCCTTTTCACAAAGACCAAAGCAATAAGGAAAGCCAGGATGATCACCCAAATTGCAGAGAATGCGTGCTTCACTTTCAATCAGATAGCTGTATTTCTGATCTTTTGATTTCTTTACCGCAACTAATGTTGATCTATAGTTCATCAGTCGCACAATGCCAAATCGTCCTTCACCTAATATATTCGTATTTCCGGCGCAGTCTTGCAATAAATTCGAGTTTAAACGCGGCACTGTTGTTATACCAGTTATTTTTTTCGAGACTGAAGGCTCCTTTGAAATGAAAGTTTTCTTATGGTTTGTTGATTTCTCTAATTCTGGTCTTGCGGCTAAAAGTACCCTGCCAGCATATGAAGAACCCAGACGATTGATAATCGGTTTTTCAATTTTTTTTATAGGCTGTTTGCTTGTATATTCGGTGTTTTGTTCTGTTGGCTTGATAGATGTTTTTAATAACACATCTGTTTTGGTGTCTTTTGATTCATTGTTTGGACGACGCTCTACCGGAATTTGACAATCTTTTTTATCAAAGCATGAGTCTGTCTTTCTATGTCGACGTCGGTCTGCAATTTTACTCCTGAGCTTCTTCCGACGCAATAAAAGTTTCTCTTTTGAGCGAGGATGTTTCACAAGAGCTTCCATGATGATTAATACAGAAGATTTGATGATATATTATAATTCATACATCGGGTTACTGATTGATTACTTAGAACTGATTATTTGACGGGAGGGGTGGGTACTGAGAAGGGAAACATTAATCCTTAGTATTAATCTCACAAGAAAGGACAAGAAACRTATGATGAACTCATTACAACATGAAGCAGTTAAGATTTATCAGTTTTACTTTCTGTTGAAAGCCTAGATCATGTTTGCTTGAACCAGCTTCATCATCRCTCGTTATATTTCTACCTTCCCCCCTCCCCATCCAAATATTTAACTGACATAGGGTGCATACGTATTGTGTATTGCTCATCACCCCCTAATGACGTTAAATCTGCAAAAAGGCGGGAATTTCATATACCTCGGATCAAGTTTTCAAACGGCACGCTGCAATACGTTAGCTTCGTTACTCAATTCAACTGAATTACTTCCACTKGGTGAGGATGATTGGGGCTGTTCTAGAAGAGGAACTACTGGAAGATCCTAAGGATGACCTTTCGCAGCTAAGAAAAGAAATGGAGGAGCTAAGAAACGARTTAAAGTCGTTGAAGCAGTCGAACGCAAATGCACGACGGAAAYGTGAGGACAAAGATGGCTCAAAACAGCACAAAATCGATCATAATWGCTCCGTAAGTAATTGTTTTTCCTATAAAGTYATTTYTAGATTGTAGCTATTGCTATAGGTATCTATTTTGTGTAGATTTGTCATTGTGACTCGGTATAACTRAGTACTAGAATTTAACTGAACTGCTTTAAGCTTGTAACATTACTTTCTGAACACCGGCCTTTTTGTTGAATACCAATCAGTATTTAACCTGATTAGTTTATAAAGAATATGCACTTACATAAGTGATGAGCTCGTAATTATATGATTGATTCACGAATTATAAGTACACTGCATTACTGGTAGTTAATAATTTATGGCAGTAGCGAGGCTAATTGATGACTCATTTCCCGCGCATTCTATGCTGCGTTGTTCAAATAAGCTTTTGTTAGAAGATGCGAGCTTTGTTAGTACTAGCAAGTTCATTCATAAAGGTTAAAAAAATTGCATGTTTGATTTATTTCAGAAAGCAGTGCGTGATGCTTACAAGGAATTAGCAAAAGATGAGAATTTCAAAGGATGGCAATTCAATGAGAAGTATGCTATATTACAACTGATTTATAGATCGTAATCAATCAGTACACATCAGTCAGATCAGTTTGTAAGCAATCAATTTAAATCAATCTGAATATTAGAACACTTTCAAATGATAAATTTAAAACTATCAGTAGCCATCTTGTTTCTACTCATTTCCACACTGTTCAGTTTTAATAAAAAATACAACTTTTTAGGTAAGTTAGTCTTTCGACAGGCCATCCGTCTTTGAGCGGAAAGCTAGTMGGTGCAGTTAGCCGTCTTTRAGCGGCAAAACAGCATTTAGGCGAAACTTACTTTTCAAACTGTTCAATTTTGATTATAAGAATTATTTTTAGGTTAGGATGATATAAGTTAGTCTTTCGACKGGCCATCCGTCTTTGAGCGGAAAGCTAGTCGGTGCAGTTAGCCGTCTTTGAGCGGCAAAACAGCATTTAGACGAAACTTATTTTCAAACTTTTCAATTTTGATTGCAATAAATATTTTTAGGTTAGGATGATGTAAGTTAGTCTTTCGACAGGCCATCCGTCTTTGAGCGGAAAGCTAGTCGGTGCAGTTAGCCGTCTTTGAGCGGCAAAACAGCATTTAGGCGAGACTTACTTTTCAAACTTTTCA